CTCATTATCATCTTCCTCGGCAATGGCTGTTTCATCATCAAAATTCGGGTATTGACCAATATCAAAATCATTACACGCAGGGTCTGTTTCTTCTTCTGAAAAATCATCAAAATCCGAGTATTGAACAAGATCAAAGTCCGGGTATTGACCAAGATCAAATTTTGAATACTGACTAGTACTCACAATTTTTTTTGTTGGCTCATCATCGTTTACCTGGTTAATACGAAAACCAGAATTTGGTGCTGAAAGTTGATTGGGATTTAGATTAGGGAAAGGTTGTGGGTTTTGAGATTGTGTTTGGTATTGGAAATGTGGTGAAACAATATTTGCTTGGTGATGAAATTGTGGTGGAACCATTAAATTTTGAGCACCATAAACTAGGGTTGAAAAACTTAGTTGATTACTACCCGCTACTGACCCAACTTCACTACTTCTAGGTTCAACAACATACAATGTAACATCATCACTTGAAACACTAATGTAAGCAATGAATCGTTCAACATCTTCATTGTCGGTTAACAAATAAACTTTACCATTTCTCTGATAAGATAGCCTAAATCCACTTAGGGGCTCTAAATTCAATTTATTTGCTACACGTAACATTAGAGTTTCATAAGTTAACTTTTTTAATGATAGTTTTAGTTGAAGATTCATGGGTAAAGGCATATATTGTAAAACACCATGAACATTCTCCCATGAACCTCCAAAACACAAATCTATCCAAACATGATCAACATTAGATGATTTCATTATTGTAAATTAATTTACTAAACAAACGAGCTGCGAAAGTAAAACCTGTTGCCGGATGAGGAAGGATGTCGTTGGATATAGGAACAGATGTCGCCGGAGAGAGTGATAGATGGAGATGGAATGAGTTGCGATTTAGGGATTTAGGTTATGAGTTGTTGCTGCTGCGTATTTATATACCCAAAACATTTGTGTTGCGAAATTAAAACCTGTTGCGAATTCAGAAATCGAGTTGCGAATTTGAAATTCAGTATTGCGATAGTCAGAATCTCGTTGCGATTTACTAAATCGCAATGCGATTACGTAAATCGCAATGCGAATTAGGAAAATCGCAATGCGATTACGTAAATCGCAATGCGATTAAGTAAATCGCAATGCGAATTAAGAAAATCGCAATGCGATTACGTAAATCGCAATGTGAATTAGGAAAATCGCAATGCGATTACGTAAATCGCAATGCGAATTAGGAAAATCGCATTGCGATTTACGTATTCGCATTGCGAATTAGGAAAATCGCAACACGAATTTGGGAAATCGCAATGCGATAGTCAGAATCGCGTTGCGAATCTGGAAACTGATTTGCGATACCGGAGATCGCGTTGCGAATTATCGATCGCATTGCGATTTAGTTGGTCATTTTGGCAAATCCAAAAAAAAGTTGGTTAAAATCGTATATTATAAGACATTTTTGGTCACTGAGGTTATTTTCTCTCATTATTATACTAATTTCATCCTTAAATATTTATTTAATCATAAATTAATACGCTTCATGGAAGTGGAACAGTAATATCTATCCTTTTTAGTTTTTCCCATTAAATATTATTTTATCATATGTATAATATATCAAGTACATAAGTTTAGTATTTTAAAAATTAACACTTTAATTTTAAAGATTTAATTTAAAAATTAATCAAAATAAGATTTAATTTTAAATGCAATAAAATTAGTTTAAATTATAAGATAATATTAATATATATTATTTGTACTAGATGATAATTAGTTTCAATCAAAAATATGCTTTTAGATTTTAAATTCAACATAATTATCATTAAATACTTATCCCATGTGAAATGAAACAAAATTTAATTATCAGTAAATGAAGTATTTAAAAAGCGTTTATTAATATTATATTTAATATTATAAATTTCGATATGTTTCACTTCATGTGTATTTAAAAAAATTCTATAATACCAATAATTAATTAATTTAGTGGGATAAGAACTTATTAAGTAATCCGAACTATTACGAACAGAATAAATTATGTTAGGAGGTTTGCTCCCATTGTTGGCTTTTACAAAACTCGACTTAATCAAATCAATAAATTTGAAATAGTAATTAATTTTTTAAAAAAATTCTCATAATATTTATATAGTATTTCAAATTTCGAATAATTAAAATCGACCATCACTAAAACTAATGTTCTTGTTAATTACACTTTTTAAGAAAATTGGTCATCACTAATCCATGCATAATATATAATAAATTTCTTTAATATATACATTTATTTTTTATTAGTATGAAGTGATTATAAGATAATATTTTTTTAAGGGATTCTCAATCATTTGAAAATGAACTTTCAAATATCTATACATATATTATGCTCAAATTCGAGACCTCTAAAACCAATATTTTTAAAACTGGATCGGACATTGAACCGGTGAAGGTACTGGTTCACTGGTTCAACCTCGGTTGAATTGGATTTTATATAAAATAATATTTTTTAAAATTTTACATAATATTCAAAGCAATATTAATATATATGTAACACTTTTTTTAAGTTTACAATATTAAAAGGTATAAAAATATCACAAGTCATAACATATATAAATTAAATACCATAAAATCAAGTGAAACAAAATGATTCAAATCAACTACAACATAATATTTAAGGTAAAACATATTAAATAATAAATATAATTATATAACTATAATAAAAAAAATTGAGGCTTAAAAAATCATAACAAATGATGTCATTTGGTTTAATTTAAAAAAAACAATCTCACATGGCTAAGAAACATAAAAGAGCATCCCAAAAGTTTAAAGAGTAAAAATATGATAACAAAACAATCCCACATGGCTAAGAAATATAGAAGAGCATCACAACTTACTTCTATAAATAATAGAGGTAATTTGACATTCAAAATCATAGAATCTTTTGGTGAGCACAAAGCGAACTATTCTTTCGCTTCAATTGAGCTCAAATTTTAGGCTTCAATCGAGCTTTTATTTTTTTTTTTGAGTTCGAGCCTTTTTGAATTCAAGTTTTAACATTATATTTCGAGTTCGAGTTGAATTTGATAATTTTTAGCTCGTGAGTTTTTTATTCGAGTTGATCTTACTTTTAAAGTTTTCGAGTTCGAGTCGAGCTCAGCAATACTCGAATTTGACTTGGCTCGTTGAACAAACGACGTTGTTTGATCTAATTTTTTTTAAAAGAAAAAAAGTGAACCGGCGGTTCAAACCGATTTTGTCGGTTTTTAGCATATTCACCTCGATTTTACCGGTTTTCAGTCGATTCTACCAATTTTTAGTCGGTTCATTGCCAAATTGGTTTTGTGAGGTAACTGGACTGGACAGGCCATCGGTTCACGGTTCAATCGATTGAACCGACCGGTCTAGTCCGATTTTGATAACCATGCTAAAAACAACATCTCTTTAATCACGTAGGTTACTTGATTCGTGTTACACCTTCACAACTATTTGTGGAAAAATACAGTGCAATGAACATATAAATGATTCATGCGAAATGGGATAATTATCCCATTCATAATTTTAATAATTGAAATTTAAATTAGTTATTTTTATAATTAGATAATTTTAACCCGATTTAAATAATTATTAAAATATTCAATTAGAATAAATATTTTAAAATAAACTATTCGTAATGTACATAATAACTATAAGTTATATGCAATTACAAAATATTATATATTAAAAATAATCTCAATCATTTGACAATAAACTCTCAATCACCTTATAGTTGCTGATGTTCGAATTTATAATCTTTAAGAATAACAATTATTCCTTTAACCTTTTATGCTTATTTTTCTTTTACTTATATTATATATTTATTTTCCTTTTGTCTTTTTTAAGTTTTAATAACTTTGTCTTTATATCATATTTTCTTTATATCTTTTAGTATGATTTCGGTCTTTTTATCGGTCATTTAATCATTATTTTTTTTATTGTTTTTAATGTTAGATTTCACATCATCTCAACTAATCAAGATAACACTTATTTGTTATCCTGTTGATTTTTATTTTTCAAATTGTTGGATTGAATTTCGAAACGTAATTTGAATTTACTGATAGTTTAATGTTCTTTTGTTTTTCTTTTATCTATACAGTCAGATATATTTGTATTTATCTTTTGTTCGAGATTTTTGTCAAATTTTTAACTTTTTCTCTTAGATAATCCTTATATTATTTGAAATTACTTATTTTTTTGTATCAATGATTATAGGAAAATAACCAATCAAAAAAATTATAAAAATATCATAATTATATTTCTATTTTATAATTATAATTCTAAATATTTCCTCTTTTAAATAAAATTAACTTCTTTTATAAAAAAGTTAAATTATACCATTACAATTATCCTAATCTTGATCACACAGTAATTAAAAATTAAAATGTAATGAATATAAATTAGATTTTAGTATAGGAAAATAATCAATAGATAATCATTTTCAGCGTAAACCTACAGACAACGAATTCATTTCACACTGTCAGTAAATTACTTTTACTAATTAAAAAGATATTTATTTCCTCAAATAATCAGCAAATATCTTTATATTATTAAAATTACTTTCACTAATTTTGCCGGCTTTGTTAAAGGGATACAATAAGTGGCAAAAGGGGCTGTGGACCACCCTCATGTCAGTAAACAATGGTCATTTCGAAAGCGTGTGGTACAATGATTGGCCAACGTGTCCAACTTTATTCATAAAAGCCCCTAACACGTTTCATTTCTCCATCGAATCTGATGAAATAGACGGTGCCGATCACCCTCTTGTATTCAGTAAATCAACGTCACACCAAATGTACGTGTCCGGTCACCTTACCCGGTGGTGACGGTCAGTCTGCTCGTTTTAGGCGTGCCCCCCACCTGAAATTAGATCTTCTCTCTACAAAAAGCTCTCTTTGTATCTCCCAGCCAGTATAATGGGTCTTTCATATTCAATTTGAAGAAACTCTGAACCTTGTTCTTCACTGAAGAACGCTTTGTAAGTATTTTATTTTCTGATAGAAGAGTAATTTAGTAGCTAAATGGCTGGAGAAAGTGAAGTGGTAGCTACGGTTGAACCAACCTTAAGAGCTTGTCGCTGTCGGGAGCTTCGTCCCTATAAGATAATAGCCGACGCCGCTGTTCAACCATCCTTAGAAAACGACCGGAAACGTATGAAGCTGGATCCTCATCTTTTCCTTCCGGTATCTTCTCGGGACTGTGTTAACGCAGTACAGAACTCGGATACTAAAAAGCCAGCAAAAGTTGACGGTCTTAATAACGAAGCCCTATTTTCTAATGGAACAGTGAAGTTAGAAACTGAAATTTCGGTTGGAGGAGGAAAGGAGTGGCCGAAGTTCGGAATGGCTTCCGTTTGTGGAAGGAGACGAGATATGGAAGATGCAGTTTCGGTTCACCCTTCGTTTTGTAAACTTAACAGTCAAGTTCAAATTTCCCCTGATATTCACTTTTTCGGCGTCTTCGATGGCCATGGCTGCAGTCATGTACTAAACCAAATCTTGAAAATCTTTCTCAAATTCAATTTCATTTGTTAAACTGGTTCTATTCTAACTGATCTTTTTAATTTTTTTATTTTGAAGGTTGCTATGAAGTGTAGAGATCGATTTCACGAGATATTGAAAGAAGAAGTCGAAGCATGCAACGTGACTGCGGCGATCGAGATGCTGAGAAGCTTTGAAAGGATGGATGGAGAAGTTAAAGAAGGGAAAGTGGACCCTAAGGAGGGCTCGACTTGCCGATGTGAGCTTCAAACTCCACAGTGCGACGCCGTTGGGTCCACCGCGGTGGTTGCTGTTGTCACCCCTGATAAGATCATCGTCGCAAACTGTGGTGATTCACGTGCCGTTCTATGTCGGAACGGCGGCGCTTTTCCCCTCTCCGATGATCACAAGGTGAGGCATATTATTTTCTCTTTTGAAAATTTTAAACTAATTTGCCGCTCCTCCACTGAAATTAGATAAATCTAAAACAAAATATTTATTTGATTGCAGCCGGATCGACCCGATGAATTACTCCGGATCCAAGAAGCAGGTGGCAGAGTAATTTACTGGGATGCCCCTAGAGTTCTTGGCGTTCTAGCCATGTCTAGAGCAATCGGTAATCTTTAAAAGAAAATTTCTCCTTTTTAACCATTTCTTTCCTTTTTTTTTTCATAAAAAATCTACCCCATTATATTGAAAAAAAAATTATTAAATTTAGATCTATATTCTAAGAAAAAAATAAAAAAATTGCGTACTCATTATTTTAAAAAATATATAAAAATTTTGATCTCATTTTTTAATTTGTGGATCTATCGTCGTAAATTACCTAAATAGTCTCTCGATTATAAAATATTATTTTATTAAGTAATCACGTTATTAAAAGTTATAAAATTATCACTCATTATTTATTATTTTTCAAATTTGTTTTTTATTAAAAATTTAATGATCTAAATTGGATCTTAATATGCAAATTAAGATATGATAGCTATGTTCATAATCTCCAACGTCAATATGTTGATGTCTGTTAATTTTTTGTAATTAACAAAAAAAAATGACGATTTTGGAATGTAATCAATAAATAATTTAATGATAATAAATTAACTACTTATAATCAAGGATTATTTTGTAATTTTAATAGTAAATAATATAATATTTTGTAATTAGGGATTATTTGTGTTTTTTACCAAAAAAAATAATTATTTGTTTAATTTATCGTCAGGTGATAATTATTTTAAACCATTCGTTATACCGGAGCCTGAGGTGACCACAACGGAGAGGAAAAGTGAAGATGAGTGTTTGATTCTGGCGAGCGACGGATTGTGGGATGTAATGAGAAATGAAACAGCATGTGGGGTGGCGCGTATGTGTTTACGTGCTGAATCCCGAGCAGGGGCCTCCACGGTCAAAGGTGGCGCATCCGAGGGATTTGATAAGCCATGTTGGGACGCTTCGGTTTTGTTAACGAAATTGGCCTTGGCCAGGCACAGCACCGATAATGTTAGCGTTGTGGTTGTTGATTTGAAGGAAAATCAGCAGCCTATCTAACTAAAAATAGGATCACTGGAAGTGATCGAAGTTGTATAATAAAACATTATAATCTTAAATGATTAGTTTAAAACTGTAAAGACAAAATAGAAAATATATTTTGAAGATATATAATTAATTATGCTTTGTTACTGTTAAATGTCATTAGACCAAACAAGTACCAAAATTGCGCCCCAACAAATATGACCACATTAGCTGCGCATTTAATTAATTTAAATCCAAATTACAATGGATGACCACATTAGCTGCGCATTTAATTAATTTAAACCCAAATTACAATGGATACGTTTAACTAATTTAAATCTGAATCTGAACTATTGGGTGATTAAAGAGAGGTTTTTTTTGGGTAAGTAAATATTTATATATCTAATAGAAAGTAGAAAAACTACACTAATATAACAGACCCATATTAATCCCACCATTCATCTTTATACAGTTTTTATATAATTTAGTTCTAATAGCCTCTTTTATATAATTAAGAATTTCACTTAGGATCGAGTAGAGCCTTTAAAATGTCTATGATTGCGTTCTTTCCATACATGATACAAAAATCCAGTCCAAGCCAACTTATGAACAAAGAGAGATTTACTTTTAAAATTGGGCACAGTCACATTGAAGATCAACCTCCTAGTAGCATAGAGTATGCCTCAACCTACAAGTCTACAATATCTCACCTCATATACTCCTAGAGAAGGGACAATCAACAAAGAAATGATTACTAGACTCCATATCACTGCTACATAACCTGCTAGTCCTATCAACAACCACCCCAAATTGAATTAGCCTACCCTTGGTAGACAACCTATCAAATATAACTATCCAATAATGAAAAACTTGGGAACATGAGTAGGGAACCAAATAAGACGGTGTCACTCAACCTTCACCTTCTTAACTCGAATATTCTTCTAAATCCAACCACCCTTAACTTAAGCCCAATTAGAACTCGAACAAAACAATCTCCTAGCCACCTCTTTCATCTTCAAAAGCTTCATTCGGATCCAGTTAAAGTGAGTCTTACTCTCAACATCCCAGAAATTCACAATCTTCAACACATACTCCTTTATCTAAGCCACCCAAAGGGACCCTCACTCGCAAAGATATTCTTCACAAGAAGTAAATTGCAGGCTTTATCCCATCCAACAAGGCTCTTAAGTCCTAGTCATGAAACAAGCAAACATGGGACCAACTCATTCGAGCACCCCTGGCAGGGATATCACTACCCTTCCAGAAAAATCTCATACAAAGCTTTTCAATATCCCCAATACAGCTTTAGGAAAAATCAGTTGTCTGCTCCAAAAGTTAAAAAAATACTAAAGAGAACAGTTTTAATGAGTTACAACCTTCCACCAAAACTGAGGTTCCTATTAGACTATTTACTAAGATTCTCCCTTATTTTAACGAGCAAGGCTGAGCAGTCTTTCTCGATAAGTCTTTTAGTCACCAAAGGAACACCAAGATACCTGATAAGAAGCTGTCCGAATCTAAAACCAGTAGCATTCTTAACCAGCAACCACCCCACAAGCAAAAAATTAAATTTTCAAGGCATTCAATTTAATGCCTAACAACTCATAAAACTGCTCCAAAGTGTTAATCACCCCACTACAAAATCAAAAAGAGTAATGACAAAACACAAGCAAGTCATCAGCAAAGCAAAGATGAGTAAGGGAAACTCTTATACACTTGGGATGGAACCTGAAAATGTCATTCTTGGCAATGTCATTCTTGACAGCATCATCCAACAGAGAAGATAACACATTCATGACCAAAACAAACAAATAAGGGGACAATGGATACTCTTGTCTGACCCCTCCTCTTACCCTTAAAATAACCCACCAAACTGCTATTCAAAGAAACAGATACTCAAGGGTGGTAACACACGCCTTTATCCATCTACAAAAAACAACAAGTGACCCAACTACCTCCAAAATATCAAGCAAAAAATCTAAGTTAACTGAGTCAAAGGCTTTCTGCAGATCAATTTTAATGGCACAACTAGGAAAAAGGCTTTTCCTAACATAGCCCTTAACAATTTCCTGAGCCAGCAGGGTATTATCCACAATATTTCCACCTTTAACAAAAACGGATTGACTTGCACAGATCATCCCTGGAAAGAAACAAGTTAACATATTAACAAGAATTCTGGTGATAGTTTTATAGATCATAGAACAACAAGATATTGGCCTAAACTCCTTAGCCATACAAGAATTCATTGCTTTAAGAATCAAAACAATTGTAGTAACATTAATTGCAAACAACAAGAAAAAAGTTTGGAAAAAATTCCTAAAAACAGTAAAAAAAAATCCTCTTTGACAGTACCCCAAGCAGTCTTTAAGAACCAAGCTATATAACCATCAGGGCCAGGATTCTCATCCTTCCCTTGCTTAAACAAAGCCTCCTTAATTTCTGCATCAGAGATCACCTGACTAAGAGTATACTCTGCACTAACAGGTAATGAATAATTCAAAAGCTCTTTCAAACAGCCTATAAAGCAGCCCTTAACCCTAGGATTAGCCGAGCCAATAAGATCAATGAAGAACCACACCAACTCAGTACCATATCATCAAAAGATTCATAATAATTCTGTAATATCCCAAACTACGGGTTAGTAACTAAATTATAAAATTTCAGAATTTTTGGGATAAAAGTATAATAGTTGAATAGTTCAATGATTTATGTGGAGATATTTCCTGAAAGTTGTTAGTAATTATTAAAGGAATTAAAGGGCAAAATGGTCATTTGACAAGAAAGATATTTCCCCCCTTTTATAAGCATGAATCACGTTGAGGGTGGAGAGTTATCTGAAAACTTTCTTATTCTTCTTCTCCTCTTTTCTTCACGTGTGCCAAGCTAGAGCAAAGGTGAGTTTCTATTTAGTTGATTATTTGTTGATTTTATAGTTGGGTTTTGATCATTATATGATAACTAAGCTTAAGAAAAGCTTAAGTTATCTTATAATTAAAAGATGAAGAATTTATGAAAGAATTAAGTGAAGGAGTTTTTAAATGAATTTCTGTAAAAGAGTTGATAAATTGAATTTGAAGTTAAATTCGACTTGTTATCAGCTTAATTAAGAAATATGAACTGATATAATTAAAATTATAACATATTGAAAATTTGGGTATGATTATTGATTCCATATGAAAGATGGGATTTTGAGGTTTAAGATGAGATAAATTAATAGAAATTAGTTTAAGTATGTATATTTGAGTTAAGAATATGAAAGGGAATTAAACATGAAGAATTGAAGTTGAAATAGTGAATTTTCGTGCATGAACAGTGATTTCTAGGTAAAAATTTACAGATTATGCAGAGGGTACAAATACCCTATGGGGGGTATCGATACCCCCTAAAAGAAAAATGGAATTTTGGTTCATTAAACTAACTTAAGTTATTAACATCAAGTTTAAGGTTTAGGCTTCTGATAATTGTTTTGAAAATTATATTTATGTAGATATTGAGCCTAAACAAGTTCCGGAACAATCAAAGAATTAAGATCGAATCAAAGCAAGGCTAAGGTGAGTGCAATTTAGTTTGTACTTATGTTATTGAACAATTATTGAACAAACATTGGTTTGCAATGAGTTAGTGACGGAGTTACTATGGTAAGAAGTGACTCCTAAAATGTTAATTGGTTTATGATTTTTATGTGACATGACCTACATGATTACATGTTATATGCATCATTATACATGAGCTATGTGTGACATGTTATTCTATGTGTTATGTGATATATGAACATATGAGATTAAGTGAATGAACATAGATGATATATATATATATATATATATATATATATGATATAAGAATAAGACATGAATCAAATGATATAAGTTATATGGGAAATATATGTGAACAAGATATGATATATATGTTTATGTGAAATCATGCAAAGTGATATGAGCTATGTGACATACGAATATGAATTCATTTGAAAAGTGACATGAATTACATGAAAGTAAACTACTTGATTATATACACATATGATATGTATGTTAAATGATATGAACCTATGTGATGCATGTTAGATGATATAAGATATATGTTCACACATACATGTGGTATGTGACAGAAGAGAATGAACATGTGATTATAAGATCAATGAATACACGTACATATGATACGTGACTGAAAAAAAAAGATATGTGTTTATAAGAGGAATGGTATGAATAATTGAAGTGAATATGTGAACTGTTATAAATGATAATGCCCATGTTATGTGATATGATAGCTAGGGGTATAGTTGGCATGCCAAGAGTCGAGGGTTTACCTATGTCTTTCGGGACATATGGACAGGATTACCTATGTTCTAAGGAACATATGGATAGTTTACCTAGGTTCTTCGGGACCTATGGACAGTTGTCGAGGTTCTGTATGACCTTTGGATAGGTCCTTCGGGACATTTATACGAGCTGTGGTGACAGCATAGTGGTGCACAACCTCAATGTACTCACATATCTTAAGTTCTCAAAAGTATACATGAGTCAATACATAGACTTTAAAGAGAGTAAATAAATCAATTGATATGATACGCTATGTGTTCTGTGAAATGATATATGTATTCCATGATATGTATAGAAATGTTTAGTATATGTTTATATGATAAAAAGAATTAGTGACATTTGTACATGGGTTAATAAGAGATAATAACAAATGCACTATATGTGATATGTATATTTGGTAATATGAAATATGTTATAAAAATTACATGATGATATGTTTATTCTTTGGTGTAGTGATATATGTGTTATATGATGTGTATATTGTTTGGTTAAGAATGTTAGATACAAGAGCATATGACTAAGGGATTAAGGATAATGCTAACAAGGTAAATGATGATATATGTTTCTATATGATATGATAGTATTAATTATTTATGCATTGATATGAGTAGAGTAATGTTACATGTTTTTATGCCTCACTAAGTCATCGACTTAGCATGTGATGGTTTCACACATAGGTTTGGAAAGCGAAAAAGAGAAGTAAAGAGGAACAAGACATGTCAGTTCTCCTTACCGAAGATCAGATCAGGAATGTAGTTGAATTACATGTATTTGGTTATATAGAATTTAGTTGACATGTAATATAAAAGATTTGAATATGATATGCTCTGAACAAGTTTTGTAACGTTTTAAACGTATTTTTTGTAAATGGTAAATGTATAGAGATGAACGTTTTAAATTTTAAGAGTTTATGTATGTTTTACGGAAGTATTGTAGTAGTATATTGTAGCAGTATTGTAGCAGTACTATAGCAGGGTATCAGTTCTCTGTAGCAGGGTATCGGTTCCTTGTCAGTAATCTGGAAAATTTTAGCATTTTGTACTATAGCAGGATACAGTTCATGGTACTGTTCATTATTGTTCACGGTAGTGTTCATACCGTATTTTACTATTCATAAAACATATATTTTCTTAAATTGGTTATAACGAACACAATTCAACAATATATGATCGTATTTTCTTAATATAAGTTCAAATGTTCTGTTATTTTGCAAGAATAAAGGTTTTGAAATGTCAATGTGACGTCTCGGACTCGTATCCGGGTCGGATACGGGTTGAGGTGTTACAAATTCTCATTTTCATCTTTGATAACATGGACAATATATTTTTTCTTATTATCTTCTATAGCTGAATGAAAGAACCTAGTGCTCAAGTCCCCATCTTGAAGCCATTTAACTTTAACTTTCTGCCTATAAAAAGCGGATTCAACAGCCTCCAGCTGAAGCAACCCAGCATGAACCCTTCTTTCATCTTCCAATCTTCTACAATCAGCAAGAGAACGATTAGAGACTTGAAGTTGCTTTAACTCAATAAGCTTAGCAGTCACTCTACCATAAATATTAGAGAAATGAAACTTATTGAGTTCCTCAAGCTTAGGCTTAAGTCTTTTAAACTTAGAAAACAACCTCTGCATAGCATTACCATCACATTCCTCCTACCAAGACTCATAAACAATCCTCTGAAAATTCTCATTGAAAGTCCAACAATTAAAAAAATTAAAAGGCTTTGGCCTATTAGCCTGATTTTCTTTCTGAGACTACACCGACCCAGGACAATGGTCAGAAACACTCTGATCTTTAAACTCAACAAACGAGTCAGGGAAATTATGCAACCAATGAGAGTTAATAAAAACTCTATCAAGTTTACGAACCAAAAAATTACTATCTTGTTCATTTGACCAGGTAAACAAAGGACCAGTGAAAGGATGATCCATAAGTTCTAAGTCCCCCAAACAATTATGAAACTCTTCCATATCGGGAGACAATGATGCCCCACCACCTCATAATTTGAGCTTTCATAAACCCGAACAATGACATTAAAGTCTCCCCCAATCAACCAGGGGTAGACTCAACCTCACCTTCCAAAGCCCCAATCATCAAATAGAATTGAAGCAAGTGGATGTTTGGTGTTGATATGGTGTTTTTTTTCATGTATTCAAAAAATCATTTTCTATATACTTATTGGATTGTATATATCAGACACAAATATCAACTATAAATATTTAAAGAAGAGAATGAAGTTCACGGTAGTAAATAGTCTTAATATAAATATAAATACTTAAATTATACATTTTTCTCATTTAGGTGTTTAAACTATATTTTGGTCAATTAATGTATCTAACATTATAAATATTATCTTTTTAAGTGTCTCGGATGTAACAATTGTTAAAAAATTTCATTAAGTGACACGTATCACGTTTTGATAATTTAAATTCTTTTAATTAAAATTAAAAATTTAAAAGCAGTCATATGTGTTTTTGCTTCTTGTAGGCTAATTCTTTTAGATCTTCTCTCTTCTCTTCCATGAGTGTGGGTTTTTCTAAAACTTGTATCTTTCTTGACTTCTTGAAAGGAAATACCCTTACTGGACTGCGTTAAAGGAGCATTCGATGTTTAGCTCGACATCAATCTGCAACTGTCTCCCCACCATGTTAAAAGTGTTATCCTGTCACTATGGATTGGATATGAAGGGGGTTTATCAAGAGAGAATTCTTTATCATCATTTCCTTAGATTGGACACATTGCATTGGCATCACATGATATTTAAAAATCTAATTTTTTTGTAAAATTAAAAAAATTAAACTTTAATTTTTTTATTCTATTATCTATACCTACGCTGGTCACCGCGTAGGATGAGTGGAGGGTAGGGCGGTAAATTTGTCGAGTCAAATTCGAGTATTGCTGAGTTCGACTCGAACTTAAAAAGTTTAAAATTAGGCTCGACTTGACTCGAAAACTCGCGAGCTATAAATTATTAAGCTTAGCTCAAACCCAAAATATAATATTAAAATTTGATTCGAACTTAAAAAGTCTTTAACTCAAAAAAATTTCAGGAGCTCGATTGAAGCTCGAGATTCGAGCTCGATTGACGATCGATTTTGAGCTCGATTCAAGCTCGAACTCAAACCCGAATTCGAACATACAAAAATCTTATATTGCATTTAAAAATATATTTTTAAAGATTTATAATTATCAATAATGTATTTTTAATAATGTAATTTTTAAAATCTAAAATTATAATATAACATTTTTTCGAGTAGCTCGCGAGCTTTTTGAGTCGAGTATTAAGTAGCCCGTTTTAGCTCGTTAAGAATTCGAGTCGATTTTGAGCTTGAGTCGAGTTCATTCAATTTGAGTGTTGATCGAACTTTGACCGAATCAATCTTGAGTAACTCGCGATCTGTCTCATATCATTTACAGCGCTAGTGGAGGGGAAGAGAGGATGACGGGGGTTAGGGAAACAGAAGAGGGGTACAAGAGAAAAGAAGTTGGGGGGAGGGGCGGCAGGAAGGAGGGAGGTTAGGAGGCGGTTGATCTTTTGTTGTGTTATGAGAGGTGTACATATCAGGGCGGACCTCCATGGTGCTCGGGGTATCCCGGGCAACCCCTCATCTAGAGGCGGACCTCTATGGTGTTCAGAGTATTCCAAACAATCTCTCTACAAGTGTCACTTCTAATGCAAATGTCACCCTTTAAAAATATCACTCCTAAAACTCTTGCAATCTCTGAATTTTTATCTTGGATCCGCCTCTTATACATATACGTGATACGTTGGCTTTCAATGAAGAGTCAAATTTAGATCAAATCGCAAAACCACGTTTCTTTTTATTTAATTAATACTCATTCTGGTACTGTGCTTAATTATTTTAATTAAACTATGGAATTCCCATTGTTGTATTTTAAATATTAACCTATCATTTCATCTCTATTTTATAAAAAAATTAGTTTTATCATAAATATTATCTTTTAATCATAAATATTTTTTTCGTTATTCGTTTAATAATTAAGTAAAATAATGATGAATACAGAAAATTTTATTGGATAGATCAATATAAATATAATAAAATATTTATTTAATATATATATATATATTTGAATTTAAAAATATAATAACAATTTTATATATTTGTATTGGATTTAGAAATATATATCAACTAGACTAATATAATTTTTTTATGCCAACGAGTGTTAGTACAAGTGGTTATGATTTAAGAATTTGAGCTAGTAAGGCTAAATTTGAATTCTACCATCGTCGTTCTTAATAGGCAATCTGTAAATTCCTATGTAAATTCCAATTGAGTTTAGGTATACTCTGGTTCTGGACTAAACTTTCTTGTACAAAAAATAATAATAATTTTTTAACGTAATATATATATATATATATATTATATTTTACTTATATATATATATTTTTGGAACTTCGAGTGAGCCATTGCTTAAATACTTTTTTATTAACATGACATCAACGGCTAAAAATATTTATGTCATTAAAGACGAAATCAAATATACGATATCTCTAAATAATTTTAAGTACATGTTAATTAAGAATATTAGTCAAATTATTTTTTGTCCCCTAAAATTGATTTAAATGATATTTTATATCTCTAAGTTTTTTAGCCCTTAGTATTCAATTTTAACTTTATCGTGGGTTACAATTTAATTTATTGTTAAAATGTTATAAAATGTATATACTTAAATTATTTTAAAAAAATACTAAATTGATTAATTATATCAAATTCAGATATCAATTTATACATATTATTAATGATTTTATGTGTAGGTATCCTCTACCTATTTGTTTAATAGTCTAAGTATATATTAATCTCGACAACAAAATTCTCCATCAAATATTATTATGTTATCAATACCATAAACAAGAGACCTTGGTTATGTTGAAACATCTGTGTAAACTGATTCAATTTATATATTAAACCTATAATAAAATAAAAATTGTTCTGAATTTAATAAAATTAATATGTATTTCTTTAAATAAGTTTAATTATTTATAAATATACATAATAAATTATTAAAGAGATTCGTTCAAGTGGCATGCTGCTTGATATCGTTTAAATAAGTCTCGAGTTTGATGTATAGTATATGCAAAAAATCTCCATTGGAAGACTCACACACCAAAATCAGATGTGCAATACAAATCGACCCAAATTAATCAGACAAAGCTCTAAAGAATAGGGAGGTAAAAAACCACATAATAAATTATAAGTATTTGTAAATTAGAAGGAAAAAAATAGCAATAGTTAAGGGGTGAGTCTAGAGTGCACGTCGCACACCAAAATACACCACTAATGTAATATACTGATGCACATCGCTAACTAAATTAATCTTATTAAATAAATATTAAAAAATATTATAAACTATCCACAATTAATCATTTATTATTATTTAATATAGATTTTAATAGGAATATAATTAATTTATATTTTTATTAAAAATTATAATTATTTTAGTATTTTTTATGTTTAGGATTAGAATACTTAATTTATATAAGTTTGCATATTCATCCAATAACAACCATCAAACTAACCGTCTGCGATCTTATTCATCGCTGAAAAATTGTGTTACCAAGATCATGTAAATATTTTCACAGTTGCAAATTAGTTTATTCAACTAGTTGCTTAAGGAATTACTGATAATTTTCGATTTATACGTAATTGGAGTTAGGGGTGTGCAGAGTCGGATATTGGATTCGATTTGATTCGAAATTCCGGATCACAAAATTAATGATCCGAATTTGATCTAAAATAATCAAATATCGAGTTTTCGGATCAGATATCTAAATATGTTACTTATTATGTTGTTATCCAGCCGTGTGCGACTTCGATTATATTTGACGATAACCAAGCCTTGTGTGCATATTTTATAACAAGGTGCTAAAGCAAAATCATTGCTGCATTTGATAGGGTTTTAAAGACTTTATTTTTTTTTCACTGTCCTGTGAAATACCATTGAAGAGATGAAACTTGATCCACTGAGAAGAAATTGCGGCATTCATGCATTGTTCTTCCACTTTCACGATCTGGGGTCGCCACATGTTAACCACAATTATTCTCAGCTTGAATGGTTAAAACCATCGGTGATGTTTACGTGTGAAAGATTAACTGAGGCTAAGAATATTCTTTTAAACTGTAATCTTTTGAGTGAAGATGAATTTGGAGTTGTTTATAAAAGTTGCTTACAAAATTGAAGAGTGGTGGTCATAAAGCAGCTAAAATTCGGTGGGGGACAAGATGAACGAAGAATTTAAAGTTGAGGCTGAAGAACACGATCTTCCGACAATGAATAGAATTGTCGATGGTTGATTCTGATGATTATTGTTGGGATAAATATACAAATTTATATAAATTAAGTGTTCTAATCATAAAAAAAGTCACAAAAAAATTGTAATTTTTACTCCCTCTTTCATAAAATGTCTATTATTGATTTTTTTTTCTTAAACTTTAACTAAT